GTGAGGCCATTGTTAGCACATGGTATTTGGAAGAAATGTACAAAATGTAAAAGTGAATTCTCACCTTCATATCCATGGTGATGTGCTACTCATTCATATAATAGAGTTAATTCAATAGCATCCTACATCACCTGCTAAAATTTCCTAAAATTCTCCTTTGGTTGATTATATTATCATATCTGAACCAAGCTCTGCTTAAGTAAGCCAAATATAACTTTAATAAGATGGATGTACATAAATTTCTGCAATCTTCCTTTGTTGCTTCAATGATTTGTATGTCTTCTTGTTCAATTATCAATGACTCAAAAATACTATGAATTCACTTAAATAAAATAAGTCATGCAATAGGAAAAAAACAATTAAAAGAAAACACAGTCATATACACAATCCATACTCTGTGTGGTTTTCATTTTTATGTGACTTTTTAATATTTTACTGTCTCTTTAAAAACTTTATTTTTTAAAATTAACTATGTTTATAACTGTCTTTTTTTAACTCTTTTCCTTCTTTCTCCCAATCTTATGTGCATTTTTAAAATATACTGCAATCTGTTTAGAGGTTTTGCCTTGCTTTTTTTATTGTTGTTGTTGAATCTGTTTTCAGTTTTTGATTGCTCTTTTAAACTGGTAAGTGAACATGGCTAGGATCAAAGCAGCCACTTTGGCTGTTGATTCTGAACTATTTGGCTTTTCAACATGGTAGAGTGACAACAATCATCACATTTACTCCTAACCAACCACCACACTACCCAATGCTGCCATCAAGTAGCATGTAGCCTGTCCACCCACTTCTTTATTGTTCTGTATGAGATCAAACTAAATCCAGCTCACCTGATGAGCTGATTAGCCTCTCTGTACCAAGGTCTATATGAGACTCCAAAAACCTCCCATGCTGATTATATTATTCTGGCTGGTGGCTGGCTCCATCTTGCAGGCAACTGTTGCAAGATGCATCTCTGGGCTGCTGCTGGAATGAGACTGTGAGACTAGGAAGTTCAGTGCACTTTGGGTTTTGTGTGCTTAGAAGTATTTTTAAAAGCTTTCTCCGGACCTATGGAAATTGGAGAGCCTCTTATGCCACTGTATGCCATTGTAACATGAGGTTTCTGTCCAATCTGGCAGGTCCCAGTGGAACACTAAGGTTTAATATTAATTACAAACTGTTTGGCCTATTAGCTCAGTCTTATTATTAACTAGCTTTTACAACTTAAATTAACCAATTTCTATTATTCTATATTTTACCATGAGGATCAAGGCTTGTTACTTCACATCTTGTCTCCCTAGTGGATGATGGTGTCTCTTAGACTCTACCATCCTTTTCTCTTTATCTTTGCTTAGATTTTCCTCCTGGCTCTCTTTTGCCAGGCTATTGGTCAAATCAGTTTCTTTACTAACCAATAGTAATAAAATATATTCACAGAATACAGACAGGCATCCAGTATCAGAACTCCATCTAAACTAGGCGCTTCTTGAGAGCAATATAAACTGTTTACCACTGGCAACCTTCTCTTGGTGCTACAAATCTACAAATGGGGTTTTTAACATTGCATTGATAACTTTTATAGCTGAATTTTTACATTAATCTTAATTCAGTTAATTGTTCTCAAAGGATACTTTGTATTGTATTTCTTGATTGTAAAAATTATCTGACATTATTCAGAAAATTGAAATATTTTGTTCCATTTAATATATTTCACCAGACTAATTAAGAAAAGATTAGTATGATTCTACCAATATACTGAAAAAAAATTGACTTTACTTATATCTCACAAATTACTGGTTTAGACCACTAGTTAATTTCTTGACTGCCCTGAGTTAAAATAAATACATGGAAACTACATTATTTGCAATACTGTTTGGCCAATAGCTTAGTCATATATCTGGCTAGGTCTTATATATTAAATTAACTCATTTCTATTATTCTGGGCATGACCATGTAGCTGTTGTTTACCAGCAAGGTTCCTTTGGACTCCAGAGGAGGCATCTGTCTCCTACAGGTGGCTAAAAGACTTCTCATTGACTCTGCCTATTCTATCTATCTATCTATCTATCTATCTATCTATCTATCTATCTATCTATTTATATATCTATCTATCTATATCTTCCAGCCTAGCTATATTCTGTTAAGCCATTGGCTGAAAGCAGCTTCTTTATTAATGAATAAAAGCAACACATATACAGAAGGACTTTCCAAACCACGGGGATTTTCTTTCTTGTCATTTAAAATCATAATTTGTGTTAATCCAAAGGCCCTACTAATTGATAAATACTCTGGTGATTACATTATTTAGCTGAGTAGTTCTTTCAGAACTATTTATTACTAAGTCAATTATTTGTACCTAATAATTGGAAATATTGTAGCTGTTACTATCCTCCAACATCTAGCTGATTTCTTCAACTTTGGTATAAAAGTAGCAGTTCCCAGCTTCCCTTGCAGTTAAGTGAAATCAGGATACTTGGTTCTAATCAATGGCATTCACTCAGTCTATATATGCTATTTTTTACCATAATTATAAACAAATATAAAAGTATGCTAGAATCAATATAGCTGGTTAACCTGAATTTGATGCTTAGTTACAGAAATATGTGCTTTCTCACAGTTATTGAGACTAGATTTCTAGCAATTCATGATACTTTTTCTTCTTCTTAGATACTTCACTCCAATCTCTGTCATGATACTCATATGGTTTTCTTTTTTATGTGTCTCTTTTGTTCTCTTTAAGTTTTTAAAAAATAAATCATCTGCAAGATCGGGATATCAACCTAAGTATAGATTAATTTATGGATATATAATACATTTTTGATTTTTTGAAACAGGGCTTCCATGTGTAGCCCTAGCTGTTCTGGAATTCTCTCTCTGTAAACCATGGTAGCTTCATATTCACAGATATTCCCTGGCTTTGCCTCCTGAGTACTGAAATTAAAGGTGGTATCAGCATTGCCTGACAACTTATATTTTTTTCACTACTGACACAGTGTGTCACTATGTTCTGGGATAATCTTGAACTCGCAGTTCCTTAACTCACTTTTTCAAGTGCTGAGAATACAGTTGTGAAAAACTTGTCCAATCTCTGGAACAATGTCATCTTAAAAGTCTATGAAAAAAAAAAAGTATCCTGGATTGTGCCACATTCGGATGCTGTACTAGATGGAAAATTTGAAAATTGTCTCTTATTAATTATATTTTCTTTTTAGGGATGCTGGAAGCTGATAACCCCTTTGCACTCATAGATGACAGACTTCAGTCTGTATCAAAATTACCTGGAGAGCTTGTTAGGGCTCCCAGAGTGTGACCCATGTATCAAAGTTTTTCATTTACTGTCATAGATAGAGCACTCTGTTTGTTTGAGTAAACTCATTTGTAATAACAGTACTACTATGTCAGAGAGACTGCATTTTGCAAATTGGTGTATGTATGAAGAGAAACACAAGCAAATCACAGTATGGAAGGGAACAGAGGTATACTTTTATTGACCAAGAATTTTATGTTTAAATATAATATTACATTACATGTTCCACTTCTGAAGTACATATTGTGCCTTACTAGATTGTTCATTCTTAATATAGCATTGTCTAAGGTGATACAACTTCTTTGGACATTTTAATTCCAGTTGAGCAAATAACACCTTACTTTTCTTTGTATGAAAGTTCTTGTCATTCTATGCTTATACATACAAATTCAATGGAAGCATTTTTTTTCCTTTTTAATATTTTTATTTGGGGGGGTCAGAGATTACAATATGATTTCTGCTTGTCCTTGCCTTAAGATCTACAGATTCTGCCTGTGCAGAAGTCCAACACCTATCTCCTCCCACCACAAGGGAACAGTTTTCTTCAAAGAGGGAGGGCAGGGCACGGGCAGTTTCCATAGAAGGCAAGAGTAGCTAACTTCCACCAGACAGAGGCAGAGGGCATAAGGACTAATGATAGTCCTGCTTACTCAAAAATGAAAACCCAAATAATGGCAAATGCTGAAAGCTGGGGAGTTTCCTGAGCTATCGCCACTTCCTGTTTGGCATTCTAGGCAAAACCCTACAGCATACACACAATCAGTACAGGACAACTGCAGACTGAATACAGCGGCCGGCAGCGTGGGAGAAGCCAAGGACGGTGCTGCCATGGCAGTCCTCAAAGTTCCTTGGCTCCTGCACAGCAGCTTCTGTGTCCTGGAGAGCCTTCATGATTAGGCCATGTGGAAGGCTGCTAAGCGCTGACAATGAGAAGTCATGTGGGTCACTGTGGGTGACTCCAGAGCTACTGCAGAGCACAGCCAGGATTCCCAAGAAAACTGTGGCTAAAATGCAAGAACCTACAATGCTCGAGCGGGCTCTAGGAGGTGGAATCCAAGTCTTGTACGCTGTCTTGGACATCAGCGCTGTCTTTGCTGTCACTGCCACTGTCATCTCCGGCCAGGTTCTGCTGACCGGCCTCTTCAGAACCAGGAAGTGTGCTGCCCTGATTCTCCTTGGAAGCCAGAACCACGTATCTGCCCTTCTTCAGCACCAGCTGCCGTCTCAGCTCCTCTGCCATCTGGGAGAGATCTCGTTTCATGGCGTATGCATCTTCTCCATCTGCATAGTACTTGGGCTCCACCTCACTAACCTGGAAGTTCAGGGTGTTGGAATAAAGGTGCAGGGCCGCCCTGTTGCTCTTCCTCACGTGCAGGGATACATACTTGGCGCTGAAGTTCTCGATCATGGCCCGTGAGGCCTGGTCCATCAGCTTCTGGGCCAGGCCGAGGCGCCGGTGGGAGCGTTTCACAGCCAGTGAGGTGATGTGTCCATGAGGGACATCATCAGGGTCCTCCTCCATCTTGGCCAGGACATAGCCCACGATCTTGCCATCCTCATCCTCAGCAATGTAGGAGAGCTGGGGCCAAGAGAGGCCGTGGTAGAAGTAGTACTTCATCTGGTAGTTCTCGGGCAGGCACAGCAGGTTGCAGTGCTGCATGTTCATCAGGTCATCGGGTCGAGCACGGCGAATGTTCATATTGGCAGCAGACAGGCCTGTCAGGCTCGAAAGCCACAGAGGATGCCACGGAGCACAAGCGACACCAGCACCGTTTGCTTTAAAACAGCTGGGATATCCAAACAGGACTCACACAAGATGAGAAAGATCTCCCACTATCTTCCATTTCTTTTCGGCGATGCTGTACAGAACCTCGTCCATCTTCATGCAAGTGGGGTCCCAGTTGTGTCCGAAACGAATGACGACCACGCGGTCCTCCTCCGACAGGATGGCCTGGTCTACCTGCCAGCCATTGTGCAGATGCGGGAGCATGTACGACATCTTGAGCGGGCCTGCGCGGCCGGAAGCCGCGAGCTACCTCGTGAGAGCCCACGCGGCCCGACCGCCCGCGACTCCTCTCAGCACCAGCGCCCTCCCGCGCCCCGGAACGTCCGGGCGTACGCCCAATGGAAGCATTTTTTTAACCATATTTGAAATGCTTAAGTTCTCCATTAGGAATTCAACTATGTTCTCAATACAGTTAAATAGTAGTTTGGGGAATATTGTTGTCCTAAGAGTATTGAATTTTTCAAGAACAAGCATATTTATACATTTGTTTGGCATCCTCCTGCATTCTTAGCAGAATTTTAATATTTTTTCTCATGAAGATATAGTGAATTTATTGAGTATTCCCGGTGACTTTAAGTTCTTTTTTCCCCCACTGGATCTCTTGGTGGATATTTTCCCCCTAAATCTTTGTTCTTTTATAGAGCAGAGGTTCACATTGTATTTTATTTTACCAGCAGCCTTCATAAGTTTTGCTGTTTTCTTTCTTAGGCAGTTTTAATAACAAACACTTGAATACACCATTGGTAAATAATGATAATTTTGTTTCACTTCTGTCCACACCTCTTCTGTTTCTTCTAGTCCATTTGATTCAGACCATTGTTAAGTAATAGCAGCCATTATTGATCCACTCCCTGTCCTATGAAAAGAAGATGGCCTGCAAGCTCAAATATTCCTCCGGGACAAGTGCTGAACATAAATTTTAGGATGAACACTTCTTTATATTAAATTGACAAAGAAGATGTTCTGAGAATTCGTCATAGGCCTGAAGCTTTCAAATTAAGATATTCAGTGAAATCTTCATATAGGCTGTGCATTATTCATAATAGAATCTGTATAATACAACACATAGTAAAATGTGGGTGTCCATGCTTTATACTATATTGTAAATTTTCATTTCTTCTTTTTTATTCTTTCTTTTCTTTTTTATTTGTAATTTTATTAAATTATAAAAGTTTCCATCTCCGCCCCTCCTCCCACCAACTTCCCACTCCGCCCACTCCCTCTCTTTCTTCCTCTCCATCCATAAGAGCAGTCAGGGTTTCCTGCCCAGTGAGAAGTTCAAGTTCCTCCCCCTTCCTCCAGGTCCAGGAAGGTGAGTGTCCAGACTGACTGGATCCGCAAAATCCAGTATATGCAGAGGAAACAAGTCCCAATGCCATTGTCAATGGCTTTTCAGAAAGACTCCAGCCAGCCACATTCAGAGAATCTGGTTGGATTGCGTCCTCGTTCAGTCCCAGTCCAACTGGCCTTGGTAAACTCTCATTAGATCTGTCCCCTTGTATCAGTGGGTGATCGCATCCCTCGCAGTCCTTATTTCCTTTTTCATTTTCTTCCTCCTTCTGCTCCTCATTTGGACCTTGGGGTCTCAGTCCGGTGCTCCAATGTGGGTCTCAATCTGTATCGCCATCCATCATGGGATGAAGGTTCTCTCTGATCTTGCCGTCTTTGCTCACGTTCTCTTTCCTTCTGCTTCTCGTTTGGACCTAGGGACTTCAGTCCAGTGTTCCGATGTGGGTCTCTGTCTCTATCTCCATCCATCGCCAGATGAAGGTTCTATGGTGATAAGCAAAATATTCATCAGTATGGTTATGGGCCTAGGCCATTTCAGGCACCCTCTCTTCTGTCCAGAGAACAATCTGGGGATCTCCTTGGACCTGTGATCCCATTTATAATCAAGTCTCCTGTAAACCCTAAGATGACTCCCTTAGTTGAAATCAATTCTTCCCTGATCTCATATCCATCCTTCCTCCCTCCCCCCATCCCAGTCCACCTAGCTTTCCCCATTCCTCCCCTACTCCCTTCTCTCTAATCCTCTCCCCTTCCAACGACCATCCCACCCCCCCCCCCATGCACCCGAGGTGACCTGGGACTCTTGTCTATTTCTAATCTCCAGGCAGATAGCTACATGATATTCATCAGGTTCACTTTCTTATTTAGCTTCTCTAGGATCACAAATAATAGGCTCAAAGACCTTTAATTATGGTTAGAATCCACATATGAGTGAATACATATCATATTCCTCTTTTTGGGTCTGGCTTACCTCACTCAGTAAAGCGTTTTCTATTTCCATCCATTTGCATGCAAAATTCAAGATGTCATTGTTTTTTACCGCTGAGTAGAACTCTAATGTGTATATGTTCCACACCTTTATTAACCATTCTTCTATTGAGGGGCACCTAGGTTGTTTCCAGGTTCTGGATATTACAAATAGTGCTGCTATGAACATAGTTGAACAAATGCTTTTGTGGTATTATAGGGCATCTCTTGGGTATATTCCCAAGAGTGGAATTGCTGGGTCCTGAGGGAGGTTGACTCCCAGTTTCCCGAGAAACCGCCACACTGATTTCCACAGTGGCTGTACAAGTTTGCATTCCCACCAACAGTGGATGAGTGTTCCCCTCATTCCACATCCTCTCCAGCATAGGCTATCATTGGTGTTTTTGAGTTTGGCTATTCTGACAGGTGTAAGATGATATCTCAAAGTTGTTTTGATTTGCATTTCCCTGATCGCTAAGGAGGTTGAACATGACCTTAAGTGCCTTTTGGCCATTCGGAGTTCATCTGTTGTGAATTCTCTGTTCAGTTCAGTACCCCATTTTTTAATTGGGTTAATTAGAGTTTTAGTGTCTAGTTTCTTGAGTTCTCTGTATATTTTGGTGATCAGACCTTTGTCTGATGAGGGATTTGTGAAGATCTTCTCCCAGTCGGAAGGTAGCCTTTTGGTCTTACTGACAGTGTCCTTTGCTTTACAAAAGCTTCTCAGTTTCAGGAGGTCCCATTTATTCATTGATTCTCTTATTGTCTGAGCTCCTGGGGTTCTGCTTAGGAACTGGTCTCCTGTGCCTATATCTTGTAGACTACTTCCCACTTTCTCTTCTATCAGGTTCAAAGTGGTCAGATTAATTTTGATGTCTTTATTCCATTTGGACCTGAGTTTTGTGCATGGTGATAGATATGGATCTATTTTCATTCTTCTACAGGTTGACATCCAGTTGTGCCAGCACCATTTGTTAAAGATGCTTTCCTTCTTCCATTGTATGCCTTTAGCTCCCTTGTCAAATATCAGGTGTTCATACGTTAGTGGGTTAATACCCGGGTCTTCTATTTGATTCCATAGGTCGACTTCTCTGTTCTTATGCCAATACCAAGCTGTTTTCAATACTGTTGCTCTGTAATAGAGTTTGAAGTCCGGGATCGTAATGCCTCCAGAAGTTCTTTTATTGTATAAGATTGTTTTGGCTATCCTGGGTTTTTTGTTTTGCCATATAAACTTGAATATTGTTCTCTCCAGGTCTGTGAAGAAGTCTGGTGGAATTTTGATGGGGATTGCATTGAATCTATAGATTGCTTTTGGTAGAATTGCCATTTTTACTATGTTGATTCTCCCAATCCAAGAACAGGGGAGGTCTTTCCATTTTCTGGTATCCTCCTCAATTTCTTTCTTCAAGGACTTAAAGTTCTTGTCAAATAAGTCTTTCACTTCCTTAGTTAGAGTAACCCCAAGATATTTTATGCAATTTGTGGCTATCATGAAAGGTGATGTTTCTCTGATTCCCCTCTCTGTTTCTTTATCCTTTGTGTATAGGAGGGCAACCGATTTTTTGGAGTTGATCTTGTATCCTGCCACATTACTAAAGGTGTTTATCAATTGTAGAAGTTCTTTGGTAGAGTTTTTGGGGTCGCTTATGTACACTATCATATCGTCAGCAAATAACGAAAGTTTAACTTCATCCTTTCCAATTTGAATCCCCTTGATCCCCTTATGTTGTCTTATTGCTATTGCTAGAACTTCAAGCACTATATTGAAGAGGTATGGAGAGAGTGGACAGCCTTGTCGTGTTCCTGATTTTAGTGGATTGGCTTTGAGTTTCTCTCCATTCAATTTGATGTTAGCTGTAGGCTTACTATATATTGCTTTTATTATATTTAGGTATGATCCTCGTATAACCAATCTCTCCAACACCTTTATCATAAAGTGGTGTTAAATTTTGTCAAATGCTTTTTCAGCATCCAATGAAATGATCATATGGTTTTTTTCTTTCAGTTTATTTATATGATGGATTACATTGATAGATTTGCGTATGTTGAACCAACCCTGCATCTCTGGGATGAAGCCCACTTGATCATAATGGATAATTTTTCTAATGTATTCTTGGATTCGGTTTGCCAGTATTTTATTGAGTATTTTAGCGTCAATGTTCATGAGTGAGATTGGCCTGTAATTCTCTTTCTTGGTTGTGTCTTTGTGTGGTTTTGGTATCAGAGTAACTGTAGCTTCATAAAAAGAGTTTGGCAATGATTCTTCTGTTTCTATATTGTGAAATACATTAAGGAGTATAGGTATTAGCTCTTCCTGGAAGTTCTGGTAGAATTCTGCATTGAAACCATCTGGTCCTGGGCTTTTTTTGGTGGGGAGATTTTTGATAACAGCTTCTAATTCTTCACTACTAACAGTTCTATTTAGATTGTTCACTTGCTCTTGATTTAACTTTGGTAAATGGTATTTATCTAAAAACCAATCCATTTCTTGTACATTTTCCATCTTTGTGGCATATAAACTCTCGTAGTAAGATCTAATGATTCTCTGAATATCCTCTGTGTCTGTGGTTATGTCCCCCTTTTCATTTCTGATCTTATTAATTTGAGTGTTCTCTCTCTGCTGTTTGATTAGTTTGGCTAGGGGTTTGTCAATCTTGTTGATTTTCTCCAAGAACCAACTTTTTGTTTCGTTGATCTTTTGGATTGTTTTCTTTGTTTCTATTTTGTTGATTTCAGCCCTCAGTTTGATTATTTCCAATCTTCTACTCCTCCTGGGAGAGTCTGGTTCTTTTTTTTCCAGAGCTTTTAGGTGTGCTGTTAAGTCTCCAATATATGCTTTCTCCATTTTCTTTAATTGGGCACATAGTGCTATGAACTTTCCTCTTAGAACTGCTTTCATTGTGTCCCATAGGTTTGAGTATGTTGTGTCTTTATTTTCATTAAATTCAAGGAAGACTTTAATTTCTTTCTTTATTTCTTCCTTGACCCAAGGATGATTCAGTAGTTGACTGTTCAACTTCCACGCATTTGTAGGATTTCTGGAATTCGAATTGTTATTGAATTCTAACTT